AGAAGGCACATGTCCCAGGTTCAGGGTGGAGAGAGGTATCAGGCAGGGCTGCAGCATCTCACCTCTTTTATTCATTGTAGCCACTGAATTACTTGCTATTACTGTCATAAACTCAAACATCAAAGGATTAGACATAAATAATCACAAATTAATAATAAGTCAGCTTGCCGACAATACAACAACCTTTCTAAAAAATAAAGAACAAATTCCATTGGCCTTAGATACAATAAAGATCTTTTCTGATGCTTCTGGACTACGCCTGAACCTGGACAAATGTGAACTCATGAGTATCCACAATTGTTCTCACTCTTCTTTGTATGATATACCTGTCAAAAATGAAATCAAATATCTTGGAATCTGGATCTTTATTTCTGTTCCTTGTTTTTCATTCTTTTTTTTTTTATTCTTATTTATGTTTGTATTGGTTATTCATCTTTTTATATTATTATTATGTAGATGTGTGAATATGGATGTGTATGTATGCATATGTATATGTATATATATGTGTGTGTATGTATGTATGTATGTTTACTTTCAGTTACTGTCGATTTCATTGTGGTGTATAGGAGATGTGATTCTGTTCTGATTGATTTAATATGTCGCTTGTCTCTTTGAGATTGTCATTGTTATTGTTCTAAATAAAGTTCATATTAAAAAAAAAATAAAAAAAATACTGCAGGCTCAGCTGTAAACACAGAAGTGCCGTAGAGGGCAGCAGAGCGCCCGCGGCGTCTGCCTGAATAACTACCGAAGAAGAAGAAGAAGAACTAGGCCGCAGTCAGCTGACCGGGCAGAGCGAGAGCTAAAGCTAACGCTACGTCCGGCCGGTGCACCGGGACTTCCTCCGGTTTGTTCCCCGGGGTACCCCCTCCTGAGAAGCGGATCATGGCGTTCATCACAGCCAGCTGGAACCCGCTGGGAGACGCCTTTTACCGGTCAGTGAGCGCCCACTGTGTCGGTCTTTCAGCTGCTAGCAGCGAGGCTAATGTTTGCTGACAGTCAGCTGACCGCAGCTCCATCCGTGTTATATACACCTGTGTTTTCTGCAGTTGTGTGATTGAGCTGTTTAAACAGAGAAATCAGCCTGTAACCTGCGCCTCTGCTTGTCATTTGACCCTGCTAAAGCTGGCTTCAGAAGCGTTTTCCCTTTAATGACGTTTCCTGAACACACACGTCACGTGAGAGGACTGACGTCCATGACGAAGTGAGCAGGAGGTTGTAGCCCATCAGAGTCAGGGTTTACTCAGGTCGGCAGGTGACATTTGTGTGCAAGTGACAGGTGAGCTTAAAGTGAGCAGAAAGTGACCGGAGGCTGGAATAGTGTTAGGCAGATAGGGGGAGGAGCCTGCGGGGGACCATGGGGAGGGGTTTGTTTACATTAATGTGTACTTTCCTGTGTACTACTGCAGTAAGACGGATCTGTATGAGATGAGCTGGAGTCTGCGTGATGGACTCAGAGACAGTCTGGTGGCTGCAGCTCCATACGGAGGCCCCATCGGTACAAACTAAATAAAACTTTATGAAACGCTGCAGTGAGATAGTTTTTTATAGTCAGATTTAAGGCTTTGACCCCTGACCTCTGTCTGACCCCTCAGCCCTGCTCAGAGAACCTCAGCGGCGTTCTCCGAGTTCTCGTCCTCAGCTGGAGATCTACTCTGCGTCAGGAGGCACCGTCGCCAGCTTCCCCGTGAGTAGCACCTGACCACACCCGGAGACCGGTTGGGTCTCTCTCTGACCCGTCTCTCTCTCTCTGTCTCCGTCTCAGTGGAAAAGTGGTCCAGTGGTCCAGCTCGGGTGGACGGTCTCTGACGAGCTACTGTGTATCCAGGAGGACGGCACGGTCCTGATCTATGACCTGTTTGGATCCTTTAAGAGACACTTCAGTATGGGACAGGTCAGCACACCTGAGTTTGTTCCTCTGAATAAATGAAGCTGCTCAGACGATGTCACCGATCAGGTGACCTCTATCTTTAAACAGGAAGTGGTCCAGAGTCAGGTGATGGAGGCCAAGGTGTTCCACTCTCCTTATGGAACAGGTATTGCCATAGTAACAAGCTCCTCCCGTTTCACCTTGGCCACCAACATCGATGACCTGAAGCTCCGGAGGTTACCTGAAGTCCCAGGTAACACCTGACTCACCTGAGATGGTGTTTTCACTGCCACGGTTAAGCCTTTCCACCCTTACCTGTCTGTCCACCTGTCTGTCCCTCAGGTCTGCAGGGAAAGCCATCCTGCTGGGTAGTCCTCACTCAGGACAGACAGACTAAAGTCCTGCTGTCCAACGGACCAGAACTCTTCATCCTGGACAACACGTCCTGCACTGTGGTGGTGAGACATGTAGAGACAGGTGAAGTCAGTAATGCTCAGTTTAAGATCGTTCTAACCAAAACCAGTCTGAGACGACGTTTGTCTGACAGTCTTCGATGGTGATGCTAATCCACAGCCAGTAATCTTCACACTCAGATTTGTCCTCATCTTTCTTTTACCTGTCTCACTGCCTACCTTTGTGTCTCTCTTCAGTGTCCTCCAGGCCTCAGTCCTCAGGACGGCAACATTGTCCACATGTCTGTGTCTTTCAGCTATAAATACCTGGCTCTCCTCACTGACAGTGGACACCTGTGGACAGGCTTGTCCACCCTACAGGTGAGCAGCTGTTCTGGCCAATCAGCTTTTCAGATATCTGTGAAGCATCACCTGTGGAATGACTCACAGGTGATGCTTCTGTATGCAGGAGAAACTGAGTGACGTCGACACCAAGAAGACCATGGCGCCCAAGCAGATGTTGTGGTATGTGTGACCTCTCGTTTACCTGTGCTCTTATTTATTCAGCTGCTCACCTGTCGAAGCTCTTCTTTTACACCCGTTTAACCTGGAGTTTACCTGTTTGCCCAGGTGTCGCAGACCAAAGAGCCAACAGCCATCTGTGGTGTTGATGTGGGACAGACTGCTCCTGGTGGTCGGGGTGTGTAATGAGACCATCCAGTATCCTTCAAACTTCACATCTGAACATGTTCAAATACACTTCAGGTGTGTTAAGGTTCTCCTTGGAGTTGTGCAAAGCAGCCGGTATTTGTATCTGTTAAGGGGGGAAAAGTATTTGTGTTTGTATTTGAGTAAAATTCAAAATAGGTTGAAAAATCAATTTTTTTTCTTGTTTATGCGTCTGATTTACGTTACAGTGTAAGTATTCTTTAATTATATCCATTATAATAAATATGGATATGCAATATTGGTTGGTATTTTTCCATAAATACAGCAATGAACATTTAACAAGGAACGTCATTGAAAAGAAAATAACACAACAGCCATTACCTCATCCATGGTTAAACCAACAATTAATAAAATATCATTGTGAACATTATGAACAGACAGAATTAAAAACAAATAATACTTCAAAGAACTGTTCTTCTGAGAGAACATCTTTCTAATGCACAGAACTAAACTTTATCAACCCCTGACTGGGAGATGTGGCAGAACAAAAGTTGTATTCTATATAATACTGTTAAACCAAAAGATGCAGCCCTGCTGTTGTCAACTGTCTGCCTAAAAACAGACACAAAGGGGTTTTTTGTGTTTTATGTTGACCATAACTCAACCATATTTCACTTTGAAGAAGATGTCTTCTGCCAACATACTCTCAGTTAAGTTTCTCCATGTAGTATTTTGTGATCACAAGCTTGTCCACATGTGAGGGCAGCAGTCTGGAGCGTTGTGGGGACAAGATACCTCTGCTTGTTGGGGCAGGTGCGATATTTCATTGCCACATGAGCCAGGGCTGCAGGGTCTGAGGTCAGTGATTCAGTGCTGTCCTCAGCTAAGTAGCTCTCAACTATCTTGCGGAGGTCATAGCACCAGATGAGGCAGATTTGGCTTTTTTGCCCGCTGGCCTCACTCTCAACTGAGGATGAGCTGGGTGCTTCAGGTACCCCAGAAATAGGGCTGTTCGATATAACGATATATATCGGATGGAGATTTATATATATGTCTATCATTTCCTATTACGCTATTGTTTGTTTCGTGTTGTCGTAAAATAAACTGTTTACAGAAATATTTTTTCATCGTTTTGATGGTCACTGTAGTGGCTATATTATTTTCTTAAAGTTCTCTCTTTCTCTTTTATTTAATATAACCACACTACGGACGGACAAGCGCCTGTTTTTATGCGTTGTCATTAGCAACAACGTCGGTAAAACCATCACGTGCCCTCTTGTTTATTTTCTACATAAACTTTTCACAATAAAGCTCAAGATCCTGTTGAGACTTTTCAAAATAAACTGAATCACGTGAAACAGTATGCAGAGAGTTTACGGATGAGAAGCAAAAACGGCCCGTCAGGTGCTCATGCATCAGTTAAAACACTCGACTCCAGCTACACGACGCCCAGCTGGAAACACTTCACGCAAGTTGAGCTGCCCGAGATTCACAGAATTTATAGAAAATGTTAAATTTTTGTGATTTATATCGTTATCGGACGATAGTGTCTTATATCGGGATATGAGATTTTGGTCATATCACACAGCCCTACCCAGAGACATCATCCGCTTGGAGTTCTGCATCCACCTCTGCAGACACATCTGCCTTGAGCCTGTCAAACTCGGATGACATGGGCAAGCTCTTAAATCGGGGATCCAGTAGGTTGGCTTTAAAGTAATGACCCAAGGAGTCATCAAAGACAGCCTGGAAGCGCTGAGCCAACTCAGACTGCAATATGGTCACCATTTTAAGTGCCTCGGTACATCCACATCCACCTTTAGGTTTTGAGAGCCTGCGCACAAGGGATGACAGAGACAGAGAACCCACATCCTCACACACAGTACCTCCCAGATCCATCTCTGCACTCATGGTAGTCAGTGGTCGTCTCTGCTCCAACAGTCACTGGAGCATGTGAAAGGAGGACTTCCACCTGGTTGACACATCATGCACCAATGTGTTCTTGGGAAGGCCAAGCTCTTTCTGGAATGCCAACGAGCTTGGTAGTTGGTATGGAGGTGCAACCACTTCGCGAAGCTTGCAAAAAACTTTTATTCTCCACTACTAAGTTGGGCATCAGGTCAAGGCAAATAATTTCTCCCACTGTGTTTGTTATTTGTAGTGGGTGGATGGGTGTATAAGCCTGTTTTGCATTAAATGCATCTAATATAGGTGATTGAAACTGACTTGCAGGGGCAGAACATGGCTGTGATGATGATTTGGTGCTGTTGGAGAGGTTGGCACACAGTACCAGGAGAGGATGCTTTAAGTGCATGTGATTATGCATAACAGATGTTGACAGATGTTTGATATCTCTGCCTTTGATGTGACTTTTGCACACATTACTTGTAACTTTGGTTTTATCTGCAGAACTGACTGTAAAATGTTTCCACACAGAACTTGAGCAAGGTTTTTGGCTACTGGAGGACACTGTGTGTCACTCACCTCTTTACACGTTACTCACTCACTCGTGCCCTGCGTTCTCATGAGGAAACGCAGCTTTTTGATATAAAGTTTTTCTTGTTCCCAAATACAAATATTTTTAAGTATTTGTTCAAAATAAGTATTTGTGAAAAACATGTTATTTGTGCCTTTCTGAATACCGTATTTGGGTTCGGCTCCACCCCTAGTTCTCCTGGAGCTCGCTCAAAAAAGTTCTCTTAGAGCTCATTTAGGTTCCGCTGGAGCTCCTTCTGGGTTTCTTGTTATAGCTGGTCATTTATAAACAAAGAATCATGTTCCGTGTTCGAGGATGTCCTCGTGAGTCATTCTCTGGTGGTTTGACCCTTGACCCCGGCCTTCAGGTATCCCATTGAGGATCCATGTGTTTTGGTGGGAGAGATGGATGGAGTTCGAATAATCAGCTCGTCCAATCAGGAGCTGCTGCAGGAGGTTCCTCTGGTCTGTCAGGACATCTTCAAGATCGCCTCCATGGCGCCTGGAGCTCTGCTGTTGGAGGCCCACCGGGAGTACGAGGTACATCATTCAGTACCACATTAGTACTACAATACTGTCCCATTAACACTGTAATACTGCCATAGTACAACATCAGTACTTGTAAGTCCACTCCATTACATCACCTTAATACTGTCATTCACTGATGTCCATGTACACATGTAGTACGGGTACACATGTAGTACGGGTACACATGTAGCACGGGTACACATGTAGCATGGGTACACATGTAGCACGGGTACAGGTCTGTCAGGCCTGACGTGTGTTTTTCTGTCTTTGCAGAAATCGAGTCAGAAGGCGGACGAGTACCTGCGGGAGATCAAGGAGCAGAGCATGCTGGGAGAAGCAGTCAGACAGTGCGTGGAGGCGGCAGGTCACGAGTATGACACCAACACCCAGAAATCCTTGATGAGGGTGAGAGCGTCCGTATGATCTGTTTTAGCATGTCAGGGTAATGCGACCTGCCCTGTACTATGACCTGTCCCTGTAATGTGGCGTGTCTCCCTCCAGGCGGCGTCCTTTGGGAAGTGCTTCCTCACAGACTTCAGTCCAGATCAGTTTGTGACGACCTGCAGGGAGCTGCGAGTGCTGAACGCCGTCAGAGACAGCAGCGTAGGGCTGCCACTCACGCACACTCAGTATCCTCTCAGTCTGCACAGGTGCATCATGGGAGATGCAGTGTGTGGTAACGTCTCACTTTGTTCAGAGTCAGGGGCTGCATCCCTCGTCACGCCGCTGTGACCCATTCTTAGCTTTAGGATTCAGCTCAGACGGGTGTGTTACCATGGTGATGAATTCCTTGACCTCTGACCTCAGATTCAAACAGCTGACTCTACAGGTGCTGATTGACAGGTGAGTGAACTCATCGAAATGTCTCTGAGATCTCATGTTACCCCTCCACCTCTCACTCACCTGTCTTTCTCTCTCTTAGGTTGGTGTATCGGCAGTTTTACCCATTAGCCATCGAAGTCTGTCGTTACCTGAAGATCCCTGATTATCAGGGAGTCAGCCGAGTCCTCAAACACTGGGCGTCATGCAAGGTAACTGTCTCACACCTCGCCCACCTGAGACTGTTTTCACATGACTGATTGGTGTGACGTGTTTGTGTACGTGTCCAGGTGCAGCAGAAGGACCTAACAGACGATGCCATAGCACGAGCAGTGTGTATGAAAGTGGGAGACTCACCTGGGGTTTCGTACTCGGACATCGCAGCTAAAGCTTATGAATGTGGACGAGCAGAGCTCGCCATCAAGGTGAATTCTACAGAGGTTTGGAGGGTTAATTTCCATAGTATGGTTCAGTGGTTCAGGCCGGAGTCTTTCTGTGTGGAGTTTGCATGTTCTCCCCGTGTTTGCGTGGGTTCCCTCCGGGTACTCCGGCTTCCTCCCACCGTCCAAAGACATGCAGCTTG